CAACGTATCCATTGAAAACTGTACAATTCACAGGGCAAATGGGTGACCATAAAAGACTAGAGCGTGCCTGTAACCAGCCCGTGGTCGTCGCAGAACCAGTGACGTTCAATCTAGACATAGTCTAGACGCATTTAGACCGCCTGCACTCTCCTCCCTGCATCCTGCTTCTGCGGCTCGACGGGAAGATTTTTCAAATGGCGTTATAATGAAAAGCAGCGCTGGTTCCATGAAGGAAAAAAAAAAGCAAGCCTTTTACTGGAGTGTAAACCGTGAGAATAGAGCGTGGCACTATTCCGACTTCACTTGTTGATTGCGCTGTCATTTTTTTTCTTTGCCAGTGCCGTCCCTACAATACAGCCTGCAAACTTTGAAGTACAGTAAGTTTTCAGCCCATCTGGATCTCTTGCAGAGGTATCACAGTTATAAGCGCTATAATATGGGCAACGCAAGTCTACAGCAAAACATGTCAATTTGAGAATATATATGCCCAAGCATTGACTTCACCTCTCTTACACCTTGGCTCGACATTTCCAAATGAATACAAAGTTATATAAAAGCACAAAACCATTCTTTTCTCGCCACATATAAGCTTTGCCAACAGCGCGACAGCCCTTTCGACCGAAAGAAAGAGCGATGCCGTGCGGAGACAAGAGAGGACCACGCCCACCACTCGAAACACGCGCTCTTTATACGATCGGGACAGCCCGAAAGAAACCCGCCGCGCCCCCGCAATCGGAGGCCATAGTACAGCACTCATAGATTGAAACAGGCATCTTTAGGGCTACGTAGCACAAATACTTATGTTTCGACTGTCTTCGTTTACCCATATCAGTGTAATGTCAAACAGAATGTGTACATCAAAGCCAATATTATTTCTAGAGACCAGATTTGTTTCGACAAGATGTGGCACTTTTGAGCAATTTTACATATAAGTTGTCATTCGAAAAAAATTCATGCTGCATTTCAATCGTTACGTACTGTACATAGGCACTAAATAAAGGCATTGCTTATTGTATTCCTGCGGGGCCGGGTGATATTTCACAGCTCGCAACCACGTCCCTACATACCCACTTAGGGGAACGCCTAGCGGCTGGGCATAAAAGGAAACAAGCAGGCTACACCTTCGTCCACTAGACAGTGCCACATGTACACCTGAAAGCAGATCACCAACTGCTGCCTATCGAACTCTCTGCAGAAGTACTCTACTACGAAGAACGGCAACGGTACGTCGAACTTGTAACACTACAGGCAAGGAAATGCCTCACTACATATCTAGTTCTCTCAAAATGGCACCGCTTGAGATGAAGACAAAGCTCTACCCTAAGGCTGTGAATTTCAAAAGTGTTTAGAAGTACTTGAAGCATTTGGAGCATTACTTAACGTGTAATGATATAGCAGCGGCAAACTGGTTTGCTGCCACTCACAAAATTGCCCTGGGCAGGGCACTAGTGATGACAGACACTAAGCAAATGTGGAAAAGAGAACAAGCGGCATCAGTGCACACAGTCAAGGGCTCGCTGTGTCAAGACCAGACACCAACTAACCCAAACGAAAGAGGAGTCAGCAGGAGCAAAAATGTGAAGTATGCACCATGGGACACTCATAAGAAATGTCTTGGTTTAGAAAAATTCCATTTGTTGGTAATGTTTAGAAGTAAGTTATTTGAAAAAGCATATCCCAAAAACTAGAGCAAGACCAAGCAATTGTGCGCCTGAATCTTCGAATGAGGACTCGAATTTGGTTAATGTAACCCAATCGTGTTACGAAGAGCGTAGAAGTTCAGAAGCAGAGAGTACCAGTCTAGGTTTTCACATGTAAAATGTGAACCAGGCCAAAGGCAACTTTGCCCATATACGTAAAAGGACAGAGTGATATGGTGATTAAGTACAAAGACAAGAGCATGATGTTATGTGGCATTGTTGTAAAGGACAATGGCAGGAAGTAACCAGTTTTGAATGCAAAAAATTTGATGGAATGCCTAGAACTTGAATGGCTTGAACTTGGCCATATTGTGGCCGAAGCACGCGCTGTGGCTCTAATACAGAAGTACCTGGGCATGTTCTCAACAAAAGCTAGAACAGTACAAAAACTTCAAGCACATATTCTCAAAAACTCGGCCCCGCTGTCGTGTTTTGCTCCGCAAGGAAATATTTGTTTGCATTGCAGGAGAAAGTTGAGCAGCAACTAGGCTACACCACTAATCACCATTGCAAAAGAAAATGAGAGCGTATATTGATCTGAGGAGGACAAAACAACAATACCCATTTGTTGAACACATATCGTTACCCACCTCTAAGATGAAAGAACTTGTACACGGCCCAAGCAGGCGGAAAAGTGCTTTCTGCTCAGAGCTTATTTTTGCTATGTCAACAACCACTCCTACTTACACCAGGGAAGCAACCTTTGTTTACAGTAAGCACAAGTCTCATGTGCTTACTGCAAGCTCCAGTCATTGCCCCGATATTTCAGGCGATAACAGATGAGGTGCTTCACAGCATCTTGACACAAAAGATGCATCAGCAATGTGACCTCACTATGACAGAGTTTGACATCGGTGATTGCCAGCCCGCATCGGAATACATCTTGCAGGGATTGAGAAAATCTAATGCTCTAGGTAAGGCCTATTGTTTTAATTTTTTCACAAATATGTGACATATTTCAGTTGCAAGGTCATTGAAGAAGACATTCACCCTAAAACACGTAAAAGAGGGCAATCTTCCAAGTCCTTCAGCCCACAACAGTTATCGAGCTCTACCCAAGTTTGGGAAGGTAGAACTTATAGTTAAATGTTTTTCAAGAACACTTGGACAGTAGCAGAGATATTCTACCAACTACTGAAGAAAAAAAATAAAAAATGGTCATAGGAAAGAGAACACAGCAAAACATACAAAGCTAAGAAACAGTGGAATGCAGAAAAGGACTGATATTCTATAATGTCTAGAAATCGCCCATAATGTTTTTCTATGTGGCGTCCTATCGCTAAGTTAGCCATGCCTTGACCGTTTATTTGTGTTCGTCAGACTTCATGTCTTATGCCAATTTTGATAAATACCCTGTACAAAAAGTGACCACCATAGCACCCGGACAGAGGCGAATAGAGAGAAAAAAATTGAAGTGCTTTCGGCTCGCCAAGAAACGTTTCACATTTGAAGTTACTCTCTGAACTTTCCTTCCACCATATGTGTGCTGTCAAATTCCTGTCACGTGTAATACAGCTTGGCTGATGAAGCAGTTTCACACAATGAAACAGCCTCACAAATATTTCGGAGCACAGCCCTTAGCCGCCCATTCGTGCAATGAGGAGCGGCCAGCATAGCCAATACAGCATACGAGTACAACGTAGAATTTAAGCAGAGTGCAGCAAGCCTCTGTGATAGTGTCTGCAATGCCTCGAGCCTGCTCGTTTTTCTTGTGGGAGTGCAACGCATGCCATGCGCACACAGGCACGAGAAAGTGAGTTAAACTGCTATGCTTGGGAGGCAAGGACGTGCATAGGTCTTAGGGACACTTGGTGTATATAGCGCAACACTATCGTGCAGTCATTGATGACACCATCTTTAAGACCCGCCACGGTGGTCTAGTGGCTAAGGTACTCGGCTGCTGACCCGCAGGTCGCGGGATCAAATCCCGGCTGTGGCGGCTGCATTTCCGATAGAGGCGGAAATGTTGTAGGCCCGTGTACTCAGATTTGGGTGCACGTTAAAGAACCCCAGGTGGTCAAAATTTCCGGAGCCCTCCACTACGGCGTCTCTCATAACCAAATGGTGGTTTTGGGACGTTAAACCGCACAAATCAACCACCTTTAAGGCATATGGCATTGGTACCCATTGATGCCATAAGTAGAAATTAAGTGCTGTATGAACAAAGGTTTGTATGAAACAGCTGTTGTAGAATCGGCCACGCAGTGCCTTCTCTAGTTTCCTGGTTAGCAAGGAAGTCACCCCCCTTTACCCCCCCCCCCCACTTTAGGTCAACGCATTATCAAAACACCTAAATAGCTACACTTGAAATTCACAGTAGGCAGTATCGAATTGGTCGAATACTTCTTATACTTGCCACTTTGTGATCATCATCAGCCTCACTATGCCCACTGCATAGCGAAGCCTTTTGTCATGTTCTGCCATTCAATACTGTCCTGTGCTTGCTGCTGCCCTTTTATACTTAGAAGTGTGGCAGTTTGGTCTTGTTGGTATGACATGATAGTTATAGTTATCCCCATTATACATCCACACTTCTTAATTTCAGCTGCCTCTCTTTCTGTCTGCCACTGAAATGCTTGCTTTCTTTTAGAATCCATGCGAATACCATTAATGACCAGAGGTTATCCTGCGTACGCACTCCGTGCCATGCCTATTTCTTTTCCGTTTCCAGTCCCACTCCACACTTTTGCTGTCTGTTAAAATTACTGTCTTTTTTTGGTTTGTTTAACCACAATTTAAGCTGAGCCCGCTTTGTAAGCACCAAGCTTTCTGCTCCGTAGGTGTGTAAAGGAGGATGCAGCTGTTTTATACCTTCCCTGTTCAGGAATAGTATAAAATACCATTCACGATTTTAGACTGCTCTTCGAACGTGCTCCAATCCATCCTTATTAACCTAGTATTCCTTTACAACTTCCAGAGTCTCGCCACTCGCCTCTTTGCAAAGTGCTGTTCTCTGCCGTGATTGTTGCGTAATACTTTTACGCTCCCTAGTGTTCAGACCAACTCTTCTGCTTTCCTAGTCCAATAAAATAATCATGAGCTGCAATTCGTCCCCCGAGTTCCTCGCTGATGAAATGTCATCACAGAATCGCAGGTTACGAATGTATACTCTCGATTACCTCATACCCATAACTTTTGCCAATCTAGGGCCCTGAAAACTTCGTGTAAGCACGCGGTGAATAGCATTAGGGAGATCATGTGTTTCTACCAGCACCTTTATTTTTTTTATTGAGATTCACTCACATTTTTTTTTTTTAAGAACACGGGTCACCCACAAAGCTTCAACATTCGAAATCTTACCTGATCTTTTGGCCTCTTCAACAAATGTGCTTTCGGTGCCTCCGATGCATTCTGTTCATTAACGAAGATCGATGGCACCACGGCAGCCCTTAATTGAGCAGACTTTATCGGACTTTCCATCACACGCACTAACGATAAACACCGATGGTAGTTACTATCACGAAACTGCTTCCAGCAGAGAACAGTGGTTCTCGAAGACTCCTGAATTCCTTCTTTTCACCATCGCGATGCACTGCACAGCTCGTATTTTCTTCCGTTGGAGGTTGTGACGCGGTACATCATTTCGTTCGCAAATGCTTCTTCAGCCGTACGGAGGGCAAAATGCCGCGATGGTGATAAGGGTTGGTTCTCCATCCAGTAGCAGCTCTTCGAAGCGTGAATTATAAGCGTACGCAGTGTCTATTCTCCCGGCAACCGGGATAATTGTTCAAAAAAAGTTTTCTCCCGGCGGTGGCCTCCCATTGGCTCTCTTATGTCAAGTGACTAACTGCCATGGGTCATAGAGTTGCTTTTAGGCACCGCGTTTTTAGGAAACTCTTTGCCGTGGCAACTTTTACGATATTTTTGGCGGGACTGGTAGAGGTGAAGAGCCAAAGGGCCGACACGCCACCGCCGTTAGTTTTCGCTACCGATTGGCGCGCCGCCGCCGCCAACGTGTTCTTTTGGCGCGTTTTTTAAATAGGACTTTTTTTTTAAAGACGATAGTCTTTCTTGGGGACCTTCGACACAAATATTTTGGTCTGTCTGTATGTCTGTATATTTGTCTGTTTGTCCACTCTTAACAGCATCGGGTATTTGAAACAACCGAACCCATCCGCAGCGCCCACCTATGTTGCTCGAGATTCAGCATTCATACTTGTCCAATTGTCGATTAAAAATCAATTATTGCGCGTGTCTGTGGCACCATAACAACACGTATATATTCTGCATGTGCACCTTTTACCAGAAGAGGCATACATAAGTAACTTTAAGGACCGCAGCGCTTATCACGCTGTGCTGACCACCCAACGCTTGCACGGAAAGGCGAGTGTTTCCAACGCTTTGCTAAAACAAGACGGTGGTGGCACCTACCCATCGCCTTGCGTTCTACACCTTATCACCTCTGAGGCGGGCGCGCACACCCGTCTAGCACCACGCTCTTTGTTTTTGAAAGAAGCTGCCAGATGGCGCTCATGTATCACGTGTGACGAGGCTTGATGCGCTCGTTCGCCTCCACTGCACGCTCGAGGCACTCTAACGCAGCGCCTCCAGAATACCATTCACCGATTTTCTTAAGCAGAACATCAAATCAATTTTTGTTCACTCTCTCCACACGCAAGCCTATCGTCTTTTGACGACATTTGCAGACTAAATGCAGATACGGGGCCAATTTTTTTTCAGCTAGCCTACGTTTATTTTGCAGCTTCTGTCACCAGTCTGGCCTTCATTCTGTCCACTTCGCAAAACGCATCGTAATGGGTTCACCTACCATTTCAAGTAAATAGGTTTTTATCTCGGACCTAATTCAACTCACTATAGATGCCGATTTGTCACGACCGTGTTTCAAAAAGGACACCACATATGTAGTTTGCTGGGCAAGTTGGTTTATAATATTTTTGGAAGAGCAAACTAACGAGCTCAACCTGACAGGACATCGAGCAAAATGCTTATGGCGGAAAGTCCACAAACCCATGTACCAGAAGCGCATTCATGAAACCTAGGCAGAGGCGTTTCACAGCCGCACACCTAACACTACAAAGGCAAGAAGCGTGTCAAAATGGTATGATCAACGCCACGTGCACCCTAAACTGACAACCTGAATTCCTTATATAGTTGTAAGGACAACTGAAGGATCACTTATACATGCGTTGTACTTTGCCTTTTTTGTTTTTAAGGCTTAAAAATCTTCACGTTCAATGTATATCTTCCTTTGCCGATGACACTGATATATTGGGGACGCAGATACTAGCGAAGATGTTAGTTTTGTGCCTGAAGGGTGTTCATACTGCCTAT